ATATTTAAATTTTTGCTTTTTCTTAAAAACAGTTTTTTGTTCTTTTTAGTTATTGGTGGTAGGAGCTTCTGAGATACTGCTTCACTATACCGAATTTATCCCCAAATTCCAATAATGACTTTTTTTTTTTTTTACAATTTTCACGTCTTCCTCTGACATTTGGTATTGTGAATATCTTCTTTTTCATCCTGGCATCTATAACTCTACCAAACCTCTTTTATTTTTTCTTTAAAGGAACTCCATATTCTCATTCTTCCAATTCTGTTGGTATTGTCAACATTTCTTATTAAAGCCTTGAAGTTGTCTTTGGATCATCTGCCTCTCTTTTGTTCCCTAAATTTATATACCACGTCAAAGATCTTTCTTCTTGGGGCGCCTGGGTGGCTCAGTTGGTTAAGCGACTGCCTTCAGCTCGGGTCATGATCCTGGAGTCCCGGGATCGAGTCCCGCATCGGGCTCCCTGCTCAGTGGGGAGTCTGCTTCTCCCTCTGCCCCTCCCCCCCCATTCTCTCTCTCCGTCATTCTCTCTCCCTCAAAAGTAAATAAAATTAAAAAAAAAAAAAAGATCTTTCTTCTTAATTCTCACTGATACTGTCAATTATAGATTCTCATTTTTCAAGTTATATATTGCTATGACTTATTCATTTGTCTTATGTCTCATTTTTTTCCCTCTCTTCAAGCTATTTTATCCCTAGCTTTCAGATTAAAATCTATCTCTATGTCCCTTTTTCTCTTTTTATTGCTGTAACATACAGATAGAAAAGTACATGAATCACAGGTGCTCAGCTTGATGAAATTTCACAAATCGAACATACTTATGTAACTAGCACCAGTAAATTAGTCATTAAAAAAATCACATTCATAATCATGTTATTTTGCCTTAAAAACCAATTAATTCAAGAAGTTTGATCCTTATTGGTTTCCCGCTAATCTGCTATTAGTTTATAGTGGCATAGCAGATAAACTCGTATGGCATCTCCCACTGCTTGCCACATATAGCTTGATTTTAGAGACATTTTTTTCTTTGCTTTACCTCATATTACCTCTCATTTTTTTTTTTTTTTTTTTTGGTACCATACTGCTCCTACTTCCTGGAATACATTATCTCTTTGACTTTTTATAATCTAAATCATGGTCATTTTTCACCCCTAATCTCAAATCTTACCATTTCTAGAAAACTTTTCTGGGCTGGTCTAGCTTTCATTATTTTTTTTTTTCTCTTCAAAAATTCTTTATTTTTTGAATAGGTAGTATCAATACATTCACTTAGCACAAAATTTAAATGTACAAAAGGGTATATAATGAAAAGTCCCTCTCCCACTCCAGTGTCCCAGCCACTATGTGTTCTTCAGGAAATATTTTTTGTACTTATAAGGAAAATTAATTTCTATCATTCCTCCTCTTTTTTTATACAATGTAAGCATACCAAGTTCAGTGTCTCACTTTTTTCAGTTAGAAGTTTTTAATGATAGTTCCGGATCAATACACAAAAGATTTTCTCATTTTTTATTAGGACTGAATGATATTCCACTGAATGAATGTACCACGATCAGATCTACCGCGTATGATTGTGAAGGTTGGATACTGAACACATTCACTTAGACTGTGATTTGAATGGCACTCCCTAGAATTGTTCAGTTACAACCAGATGCAGCAGCCTTGATTGTAAATTACCTAGTCAGTTCCTTTTGATGGATATTTCTGGCTTCTTTTGTATTGTTATCTCAAACACTACTGAAACAATAGTCTTATTTATGTCATTTGTCTGTAGGATGTCATTCCCTTAATTCCTAAAGTATTTATAATCTCTACCAATTTAACAATTAGACAAGGTCTTAATTTATTATGGGGTTGTTTTTAACATTTTATCATTTGACATTCCTTAAGGAGTGGTACCATAAATGAAATTATTTTCTATTTCTAGACCTAGAATATTGGTGTGTATAAGTACACCTTTAGGATGGGCTGGAGGGTTTCTCTCATAGCTGCCAGATTCTATTTCCTTTTTTATCCTTCTGAGCTCTTCATAATCCTTTTGAAGTTCCTGGTAATGGAAGAAAAAAATATTATCAAAGTTTTGATCAGGTATAAATAGGTACATTTAGAAGCAGAAGTGATATTTATCCCAAGTTATGGAATAAAATGAACCACAATCTCAGATATAGTTTTTAAAAAAAGGAAATTGTTTCACATTTCTTTGGCCTCAAAAATTATTCTTTATTTTTCCATTGAAAACATGGGATGAGATAGAATGTATCTTTACTGAGACTTAGATGAGCTGTAGGTAAAATAACAAAAAAATGTTCATTGTAAATTTTTGTATCCTATAAAGATACAGTGTATCTACTACATCCAAAGTGAAAAAACTGGAATTATCCTACTCCATATTAAAGTGAATAAGTCAGTTACTTTGTATTGACTTAATTATGTTAAGGTCCATTTGGTGTCCTGGTTACTACTTTGGGAACTTGGATGAAGTGCAGTTTTTCACAACCTTTTTTCTCTTCTCTACTTATTTGAAAGATCATAAAACTGGCCAGTTTTCTGTTCTGAAAAATTGTAATTTGTTCTCTATTTGGAAAACCCACATTTTTACAGTCGCTTTAGATGGTACCACTGAGGTTAGAAACGTAAACCTCTTCTCATTTTTCTCTATAGCTTAGAGGATCTCAGATGAATTAACAAGAAAATGACTTCTGGTATGGATAAGCCAGAACTAAAAATAAGAGGTGTGTTTCTTCATTTCTTCTAATGGGCCCTGAAAGATTCATTGCCTGAAATTTTAGGAGTCTGGAGAGCAAAATAAATGCTATCATAGTTTTCAGGATTTATAGCAAACAAGCAGGATATTTTGGGGAAATTTCTGAGAACTGACCTTTAGGTGATCATAAGTTATGCTGTAGTGATTTTTTAAGCAACTTTATTGAGATATAACTCATATACTGAAGAATTCACCCACTTAAACTGTATAGTTCACTGGTTTTTATTCTGTTCACGGTGTTGTGCCACCATCACCACAATCAATTTTAGACAGTTTCATTGCCCCAAAATGAAATCCAGTATCCACTGGCAATTACTCATTTCTTCCCAAATTTGCAGCCCCAGGCAACTACTAATCTACTTTATATCTGTACAATTTGGGCATTTCATATAAAGAGATCATATAAAGAGATCATTGTGTCTAGGTTTCTTTTACTTAGCATAATATTCACAAGTTTCATCCATATTGTAGCTTCTATCAGTAATTTTTTCCTTTTCATTGCTAATATTGTTGTATGTAGATATCATGTTTTATTTATCCATTCAACAGTTCATGGATATTTGGATTATTTCCACATTGTAACTGTTACGAATACTTCTGCTGGAACATTGATGTACAAGTTTTTTGTGGGCATATGTTTTCATTCCTCTTGGATATATACCCAAGAGTGGAATTTCTGGGTCATATCATAGCTCTGTGTTTAACTTTGAGAAACGGCCCCATGTTACATTTCCACCAGCAGTATATGAGGGTTCTAATTTCTTCACAGTCTCCAACACTTGATATTATCTGTCTTTTGATTAAGGACATTCTAGTGGTGTGATATAGTAGCTCATTGTGATTTTGATTGGTATTTTCCTGATGGCTAATGATATTGAACATCTTTTCATGTGCTTATTGGACCTTTGAGCTCTTGTTTGGAGAAGTGTCTATTGCCCATTTTATTTGGTGTATTTGTGTTTTTATTATTGAGTTGTAAGAATTCTTTATATATTCCAGATAGGAGTTCCTTATCAAATAAGTACTTGCAAATATTTTCTCCCATTCTGTGCTCTTTTCACTTTCTTAATGATGACCTTTGAAGTATAGAAGTTTTAAATTTTGATTAAATTCAATTTATGTATTTTAATTTTGTTGCTTTTGCTTATGGTGTCTTATCTAAGAAACTGTTTCCTGAGCCATGGTCACAAAGATGGTCTACTCTGTTTTCTTCTGAGAGTTTTATAGTTTTAGCTCTGATATTTAGATCTATTATCCCTTTAGAGTTAATTTTTTTTATGTATGGCCTAAGGAAGGTATCCTGCATCGTTCTTTTGCATGTAGAAGTTCAGTTGTCCCAGCACCATCAGTTGAAAGACTTTTTTTCTAAAAGAAAAGATGTGGCACCCTTGTAGAAAATCATAAATGTGAAGATTCACATCTGGACCCTCTCTTCTATTCCGCTGATTTCTATGTCTGTCTATATGCCAGTACCACATTGCCTTGATTATTGTAGCTATTCATTCAGTTTTGAAATCAGGAGGTGTGAGTCTTCCAGCTTTGTTCTTCTTTTTCAAGATTTTTTTTTTTTAAGATCAGCTTTTCAATTTCTTTAAAAAAAATCCATATGTTAATATGGATTAAGTTAAAGCTGTAGATCAAATTGGAGAGGATTGCTTTTTAAATAATATTAAGTCTTTTGGATCCATTAACAGAGTCTTTCCATTTATTTGGGTCTTCCTTAATTTCTTTCAACAATATTTTATAGTTTCAAGAGCACAGGTTTTTAACTTACTTTATAAAACTTATCCCTAAATATTTTAGTCTTTTCGATGCAGTCATATATAGGAATTGTTTTTTTAATTTCATTTTCAGATTGATCCTTGCTAGTGTATAGAAATATAATTGATTTTTGTATATTGATCTTGTTAATGCTAATACTTCTTTTTAATTACATTCCTTAGGATTTTGTATATACAATCTCATGTCCTCTGCAAATAAATACAGTTTCACTTCTTTCTTTTTTGATTACCATGGAAATTATTTCATTTATCTCATCGTAATGGCTAGAACCTCCTGTACAATGTTCAGTAGAAGTGGAGAGAGTGGACATCCTCATCTTGTTATCCTGATATTTCAGTGAAAGCATTCAGTTGTAGTGATTTTTTTTTTTACCCTAAAAAGAATAGGCCATAACTTTCCTTTGAAGACAAATTTCCTTTTGATTTGACTTTTTTTTCCCTTCTGTTTACATACACAGATATGTGCTGATTAGAAGGCTCACAGTGCAGTGTGGAGGATAAGACAGTGCCTTACAAAATGGGGTTTGGGAGTGACCTGAAGAATTCACATGAAGCTGTGCTAAAATTGCAAGACTGGGAATTACGGTTACTGGAAACAGTGAAGAAATTTATGGCCCTGAGAATAAAAAGTGATAAAGAATATGCATCTACTTTACAGAACCTTTGTAATCAAGTTGATAAGGAAAGTACTGTTCAAATGAATTATGTCAGCAATGTATCCAAGGTAAGGAGAATAATTTCATTATTTATTGTGTATAGCATCATAATTTTGCTTAGGGCAAATAGATCATGCTGTTGAGGGAGCATACCCAAATTAACATTCTAAAGCAGGGGTTCCAAAATCTTGCTGATTATCAGAATCTCATGGGGGAAAGTTTCAAAAATTACACATTTTATGCCCTACCTCCTGAATCTGAGTTAGTAGGTCTGAAATTTTTGAATTTTGAAATTAAAAATTGATGTCTAGATTACTGTAATGATTTTGGTTTGAGAGCCATTTTTACAGATTTTGTTTTCTTCATTACCGTATTTTCTTGGGTGTCTTGAGACCTGCTATTTTCTTTTGACACAAGCTTTTATCATAACCCACCTTCCCTGAATTCTTCTGTGGATCATTTGTGTAGTGAATCACATGGAGTATTTTAACACATAGTGTTCTTTGCTATCATTCATCTTACTAAAATAATAATGTACTGCTGAGTTAATCACACTAAAAAATTCTTTGGATAAACAATATGTTTTTTTAACTCTAAGATTATAAAAATAAAATATAAAATTTAAAATTAAGCACCACAAAAATAAAGGCTAAATTGCACTGTTAATTGCTGTTGGAAGGCATTAAAGATGAAATATTACACACCTTAATCATTCTTAGATTTCTGCTCTATGTATTTCCATTGTATTACTTAAATATCATATTTCACTATACTTATTCAAAGTAAAGGAAAATCTTCCTTGTTTTACTTTGGAAAGTTAAAAAAATTAGTGTGTTTCTTTTACTAATATTTCTTAGGATTTGAGTAAATTGTAGAGGAAATTGTTTCCAATGGAATGTGTGTGTGGTGTGTATGATCAGCTAAGGATCTGTGATTTCATTGAGAACTCCTTATGTTAATATCTTTAACTTCCTTCCCTAGGCTAATCAGGTTCCCCAAAAAGGAATTCTCTAGTCTCTAGTCTGAAGATGGGGTTGCCAGACATAGCAAATAAAAATGTAGGACACCAGTTAAATTTTGCATGTGATATTTGGGACACACATACACTAAAAATTATTTATTTTTTATCTGAAATTCAGATTTAATTTGTCCTGTGTTTGGTTTGACTACTCTGTTATGTTACGAGAATTGATAGGGAAAGTAGGTTGAGTGTTCTAAGAGTTATACTTTAGTTAATCTTCCTGTTTTTGGTAAGCTGCCTAATGTCTCTTAGTCCAAAGGCTCTCTGGTTTATTTTTTCCTCTTGTTTTCTTCTGAATTGGGGGAAGAACAGTTGCGTGTTTGTGTGGGCTGAGCAATAGAAATGAGAGTTCTGTCTGCTCCTTATATAGACTTTGAATCGATTCCTCTGTTTCAGTATCGTCTCAGCTTCTTTCATATAGGTTTCTCTAGTTTCTGAGCTTTACTGGAGTTATAGGTCTGACCCTATAAATGGGCCTTTTCTTCTTTTTTTATTGAGAAATAATTGACATACATGCATTCCTATATAAGTTTAAGTTATACAGCATGATGGTTTGATTCACAAATATTGTGAAATTATTACTACAATAGGTTTAGTTAACATCTATCATCTCATGTAGATAAAATAAAAAGAAAAGAAAAAAATCCTTTCTGTGATGAGAACTCTTAGGATCTACCCTCTTAAGTTTTCTATATATCATACAGCAATGTTAATTATAACCATCATGTTGTACGTTATACACCTAGTACTTACTGATCTTTTAAGTAGAAATTTGTACCTTTTGACCACCATCTCCCCCTACATGGCCTTTTCTTCTTGACCTACCCTTTGCAGAACACTTGTTTTCAACATTTCTTGTTGAAATAATCTCAAATTAATTACCATTGACCTACTTTTCATTTTCTTATGTTTTGTTGACATGTCTTATCTGTGGTTGTCCCCTTTTCTATTATCTTTGTTGTTGTGAATTTATACTTTAAGTAACTACATTATATTTTAGTGGGATTTTGGGAAGAAGTGGAGAAATAGCCCTGTGTTCTATTTACCGTGTTTGAGTGGAATTATACTTTTTTTTTTTAAGATTTTATTTATTTATTAGAGAGAGAGAGAGCACAAGCAGGGGGAGCAGCAGGCTGAGGGAGAGGGAGAAGCAGGCTCCCTACTGAGCAAGGAGCCCGATGTGGGACTCGATGCCAGGATCCTGGAATCATGACCTGAGCCGAGGGCAGACATTTAACTGACTGAGCCACCCAGGTGCCCCTGGAATTAAACTCTTGAGAAAAGTAAGATAGTGAAAGTAACAAGAAATAGGATTAGTAGGTATAGAAGTTTGAAGATTTGTGAGGTCAGGCCAGTGGAGGAATCATCAGTGTACACACTAAAGTGTCAAGTATTTTGGTAAGGGATAGATGGAGACAAATGCTAAAATAATTAAGGAAGTCAGGAGAGTTTTTGGATTGCAAAGGGGGCTAGGGAAAGTGATAAAGATTGGGAGGGAAGGTTTAAATGCGCAGGATTGCCTTTCAAAGAGGAAATGTTGAGAGGTAACAGTGAACAATGGTTGGAAACCCAAAGAAAAACAAGGAATGTGTCAGCCTTTCCTCTTAACACTGAAAAGTCATCATTTATTCTACCTAAAAAAAGTCCAGTTTATCAATTTTTTTCTTTAGGGTGTTGTGTTTTTGGTGTTGCATCTAAAAAAAAACCCCACTGTTGCCTGACCTAAATTTGCTGAGTTTCTCCTTTGTTTGCACCTGGAAGTTTTATAGTTTTGCTTTATATTTAGGTTTATGATCCATTTTTAGTTAATTTTTATATAGGGGGCAAGGTATGATCAAGTTTGTTTTTTTGCAAACAGATATCCATTTGTTCTAGCAACATTTGTTGAAAAGATTAAGCTTTCTCCTTTGCATTTTTGTTGAAAATCAATTGACCATCATTTGTAAGCCTATTTCTACACACTTTATTATGTTCCACTTGTGTTTTTGTCTGCCCTGACACAAATAACACACTTTTTATTTTGCTGTTTTATAATAATCACAAAGTCAGTAGTGTAATTTTTCTGTTCTTTTTTTCTCTTTCAAAATACTTTTGGCTATTTTAGTTCCTTTACAATTCCATATGAATTTTATTTATTTATTTATTTAAGATTTCATTTATTCATGAGAGACAGAGAGGCAGAGGCAGAAGGAGAAGCAGGCTCCCCACTGAGCAAGGAGCCCAATTCAGGACAGATCCCAGGACTCTGGGATCATGACCTGAGCTGAAGGCAGAAGCTTAACCGACTGAGCCACCCAGGCGTACCCATATGAATTATAGAATTAGCTCGTCAATTTCTATTTTAAAAAGGCTACTGGATTATGATTGGAATGCACTGACTGTATAGATAAATTTGGGGAAAATGTGTATCTTAACAGTACTGGATCTTCCAGTCCATAAACATGGTATATATTTTCTTTAATTTTTCTGAGTAGTCTTCCAGTTTTCAGTGTACAGGACTTTCAGATTTATGTGTATTTCATATTTTTTGATACTCTTGTAAATATTTTTTCAAAATTTTAGTTTCCCACTGTTCATAATTATTATGTATACTAATCTCATAACCTAAACTTTGTGAAACTCGCTTATTTGTAGCTTTTTTGTAGATTCCTTTGGATTTTCTACACAGGTGATTATGTCTTCTGTGAACAAAGACAATTTTCCTTCTTTTTCATTTGGATGTCTTTTATTTGCTTTTCTTTATTTTTGCACTGGCTAGAACCTCTAGCACAAACCTGAACAGAAGTATAGACAACAGATATCCATGTCTTGTTGCTAATCTTAGGGGAAACACATTTAGTCTTTCACAATTAATTATGCTGTTAGCTGTGAGTTTTTTTGTAGATACCTTTTATAAGCTTGTGGAAGCTTCTACTCCTACTTAGCTGAGAGTTTTTTTCATGCACTGATGTTGGGGTTTTGTCAAGTGGTTTATCTTTTTCTGCTTAGATGATTGTATGGTTTTTTCTTTTCAGCTTGATAATATATTGAAATGTACTCATTGATTTTCAGATATTTCAAATGTTAAAACAATCTTGTATTCCTGGATTAAACCCCACCTAGTTTTATATATTGTCCTTTTTTTTTTTTTTTTTAAATCTTTGGATTCAATTTGCTAAAACTTTTTTTTTTTTTTTGAAATTATCTCAGTTTTACTGAGGGATATTGGTTTGCAGTTGTCTTTTCTTGTAATGTTTTGTGGTTTTGGCATCAGGGTAATGCTGGCTTCATAGGACAAGTTGGGAAGTATTTTCTCTTTAGTTTTCTTGTGAGGTTTGTGTAGAATTGTTTTTATTTCTTACTTAGATGTTTGATAGAATTCACCAATGAAATCATCAGGGCCTAAAGTTTTCTTTCAGAGAAGGTTTTTAATTATACATTTAATGTTTAATATAGTGGGCTCTTCAGCTAGTCTTTTTCTTCTTGAGTGAACTTTGGTAGGTTATGCTTTCCAAGGAATTTGTTCACTTTTGTCTAAGATGTCAAAATTTTTATGTTGTTTATTATTTTCCATTATTGTCCTTTTAATACCTTTCTCATTCCTGATATTGCCAATTTTTGTCTTCTCTCTTTTTTTCCTGATCAGACAGGCTAGAGGTTTATCAACTTTACTGATACTGAGAACTACCCTTTTGGTTTCATTGATTTTCTGTTTTCTATTGCATTTCTCCTCCAAAATCTATTAATTTTTTCCCACTTAATTTGGGTTTTATTTGCTCTTACTTACCCTCATTTAGTAAGGTGGAAACAGATTATTGATTTAAGATCTATCTTCTTTTGTAATATAAGCTTATAGTTTTTTTAATTTTCTCTGAGTACTGTTTTAGCTGAATCCTAGAACTTTTTATAAGCTTATTTTCATTTTCTTTCAGTTCAGCATACATTTTAACTTTTGTTTTGATTTCTTTTTTGACCCATGTGTTCTTTCAAAGTCTGTTATTTAATTTCCAAATATTTGGGTTTTTTTCCCCAGAGACATTTTTGTTATTGATTTTGAACTTAGTTCCA